CCACACCCGCAGAGTGCGAGGGTGTCTCGAGCGAGGCGCCTGCTGCAGCACTCCAGAGGGAGAGCCGCCACGGGCGGCTGCACCGCCCCGCTCGCGCCTGCACTGTGGGGGTGGCTTCGGCGGTTGTCGCAGGGACGCCAACCCTCTTCCTCCTCCTCCTCCTCCTCCTCCTCCTCCTCCTCCTCCTCCTCCTCCTCCTCCCTCCCCCCTCCTCCCTCCCTCCTCCCTCCTCCCTCCTCCCTCCTCCCTCCTCCCTCCTCCCTCCTCCCTCCTAGACTGGTGTACGGACCTCCAGGCCTGAGCCAGGCGAGCCCGTACACCAGTCCGGGGCCCAGGGTGGGCCTGTCCAGGGCTGGTGGTGGTGCATGGTTTGGAGCTTCCCCAGCTTGGCCTCCTCGGTTGCACCTGCTTCCCGAGCGGAGTCGCGAGGATGTCCCGAGCGGGGCGGTGGCCCCCGGGCCCCCCGGGGGGAGCCCGCAGGGGTGCTCGCACGGTTCCGCTCGCGCTCGGATTCGGCGGGGGGGACCAGCGCACACGGGCACAGCGAGTCGTCGATCCCCCGGGCAGATGTGGGAGAAGAGGGGAAGTGGAGGTTGGAGATTCTCACGCCCTCAAAGCATGAGAGCATTCTGGGAATCTTGGGGTCTGTATGTATATTTATCTTGTGTGCCCACATGGGCCCGTTTGCCGATTGTGAGGATGTCTCGGGCGGCCTGCCTGTGTGGTGGCCTCGGCCTCTTTGCTGTCAGGTTGCTCGCGGGGACGTAGTGACGGATTCGCGGGTTTCGGCACCCGAGGGGGAAAAAGCACACAGACACCATGAATCGTCGATCCCCAGGAAGATATGGGAAAACAGGGGAATTGGAGGGGAAGACGAAAGTCCAACAAATATGATAATCTTTTTTTTTTTTTTTTTTTTTTTTTCTCTCTCTCTCTCTCTCTCTATATATATATATATACATATATATATATATATATATACACACGTTCAAATAAATCCGTAAGGAGGTTTGTGGGTTGGCGTGGGCCCCAGGCTCCCCGAGCCCCCCTGAGAGCCCGAAGGCGCCTGGAGGGCCCCGAAACGGCACTGGAGCTCCCATGAGCCCCGAGACTGCCCAAAGAGGCCCCGAGGCGACCAAAGGCAGCCCCGAGATGGCCCAAGACCGCCTTCAGACGGCCTACGATGCTTCCAAGACGGCCTCATGGATCACCAAGACGCCCCAGGACGGCTCCGAGGGGACACTCTCGGGGGGCCCGAGAAGCCGAAATCGCAGATTTCCCATGGGTTTCCTACGGATTCTGAGATTCTCGCGCTCTCAACCGTCTGGACCCCCAAGACGGCCCAAGAGGCCTCCAGGATCGCCCCGAGACGGCCCAAGAGGAGCCCAAGAAAGCCCCAAGACAGCCCCAGAGGGGCCCAAGGGGGGCCCAAGAGGCCCCCAGAACGGCCCAATAGACCCCCATGCCGCCCCCAAGACAGCCAAACAAGCTCCCAAGAGGCCACCAAGACAGGCCAAGAGGGCCCCGAGCCTGCCCATGAGGGCCCCTAAGACGGCCCTAATGCTGTCAAGACAGCCCCAGAGGACTTCACGCGCCCGAAAAGAGCCCCAGGAGAACCCCCAAGAGGGCTTGAAGAGGCGAAAGTCATCGATTCCACGCTGGTTGTCGATCGCACACCGCAGCTTGCTAGCATGTGCGCGCCGGAAACAGAAGCGCGCGTCGGTAAATTTGGACTTACGCAGCTCCGTGGATTTAATCCCCGGGCCCACACGAGTATATATATATATATATAGAGAGAGAGAGAGAGAGAGAGAGATTGGGGATCTTGGAGTTGTGCGTATTTCTTTGTGTGTCCTTGGGCCCCTGTACAGATTAAGGGGATGTCTCAGGCGGTCTGCCTGTGTGATGGCCTCGGCCTCTATGCTGTCAAGCAGCTCGCGAGGACGCAGTGACGGATCCGCGGGGTTCAGCACCCGAAGGGGGAGCCGCCAGGGGTGGTTCTTCGGCCCCGTTCTCACCCAGAGTATGGGGTTGTCCTGAGCGGTTTGCAGGTTCGCTTGCTATGTCTCCTGCGTGTGCATGTTTTTCCCGGTGGACACCACCGGGGAACAGCTTGGATGATCTGGCAAACCCGCACATCTATGCACGCACACAACTGAACAATGCGCGGGGAATGGGTGCCCGAGCGATGGCAAGACTGGCGGCCCAGACTCCTTTACTTTCAGGGCAGATGGCGAGGATATCTCTCGAACTGGGCGCTGGCGCCAGGACACCAAAGGGAAGCCGCCAGAGTTTGGGACTTCGTCTATCTGCGGTCAGGGTGTGGCGCCTCGGTCACCTGTGCTCCCATAGCAGACCGTGAGGAGGACTCGAGCGAGGCGCTGTCTTAGGCGCCCCAAAGGGGCAGATCGTGGGGATGTCTTGACCGAGCCGTTCGTCATGTATCCCCGATTCTACTCACCTCGATGTAGGGGGGAAGGACGGCGGCCAGGGAGGAGGGTGGAGGAGGGAGGAGGGAGGAGGGAGGACGCGGGAGCATGGAGAAGGGAGGAGGGAGTTAGAGAAGGGAAGGACGAGAGGGGGGTGTAAGAGAAGGAAGGGTGAGAGAAGGAAGGGTGCACGCCGAGGAAGAGGATTCTACGGAGAGGAGGTTGCGGGGACGGGTTCATTTGCCAGGGAGGATGGGGGGAGGCGAAGGCCGCAGGAGGACGGGAAGGATGGCCACCAGGGAGGATCAGGGAGGACGGAGGAGGAAGGAGGACGCAGGGGGGAGAAGGTAGGAGGGCGGAAGAAAGGGGGGGGAGCCAACGACGAGGAGGCATGTCCAGGAAAGGGGGTTGGGCCTGCCCTCCGCCTGTCGGTCTGCGAGTCGTCGTGTTCGTCCTTCGTCGTAGCTGCCGCCGTGGTCGTCGTCGTCGTCGTGGTCGTAGCCGTCGCACACTCGGACTCACTCCCAGACCCAGGCACTCACAGCCAGACGCTCACACCAGAACGTGCCAGGGAGCGCTATGCAAGATGCACATAATGGATACATGCGCGTCGAGTAATATCTTTAGGCATCGCGGTCTCTCTTCACGCACTTTCCGCCTTCTTCTCCCCACTGCGTTCCTCTTCCCCACTCTTCCCCACCTGGACTCGCTCATGGTCTGATTCACTCGCACTCAGTCTCACACATGCTAAGACTGACTCGCGCTCAGACTCACTTCCATCCAGGCTCACTCATACGCAGACTCAATCACGCTCAGATTCACTCACCTTCCGAATCACTCACACAGAGGCTCACCCACCATCAGCCACCCTTACACCTGGACTTGCGACGCACTCGCGCTCCGATTTGCAGATTGTGAAGATGCCTCGAGCGGTGCGCTGGCTCGAGCATCCTAAGAGAGAGAGAGAGAGAGAGAGAGCTTTCAGCGGCTGTTCCACCACCCCGTTCGCGCCCGGATTGCGAGTACATCTTTGGCGATATGCTTGTTTCGTTGTTCAGACTCATATGTGTTTGAGCATATTGTGAGGATGCCTCGAGTGAGGCGCTGGCCCCAGCACCTCAAGGGGATCCGCCAGGGGTCGGCGCACGACCCCGTTCGCGCTCACACTGTGGGGATGTCTCAGGCGCTTAGCTGCTCTGATACGCACGTTTTGAAACGTAACACGTGCCGTGTTCAAAACGTCCGTGTTCAATACGTACGTGTTCAGTCTACGTGTTGAGCTCCGTATCAATACGCTACGTGTTGCGTGTTGCGTGTCGCGGCAGCTAAGCCTCCTCCTCCTCCTCCTCCTCCTTCTCCTCCTCCTCCCTCCCTTCCTCCTCACTCCCTCCCTCCTCCCTCCCTCCCTCCGTCCTGATCCTCCTCCCTCTTCTTCCTCCTCTTCCTCCTCCTCATCCTTCTCCTCCTCCTCCTCCTCCTCCTCCTCCTCCTCCTCTTCCCCCCTTTTCCACCCCGCCTCCTCCTCCTCCTTCTCCTCCTTCTCCACCTCCCTCCTCCTCCTCCTCCTCCTCCTCCTCCTCCTCCACCTTCTCCCTCCCTCCCTCCCTTCCTTCCTCCTCCTCCTCATCATCCTCCTTATTCACGTTGTTCGGTCCTGAAGCACGGGCTTGTGGCGTTAATGCAAGAGAGAAGCCATCGCCGACTTACGCGCGCTCCGCGCGGACCTCCGAGAAACTTTGTATTGCTTTGCTTGTCTGCAAAACCCCAAGGGCGCTCCAAAGTTCCGTCTGTCAATAGGGGGATCGCGGCAGCAAATCATGGGAGTTTGGTGTGCACTCTTAATTCGGTAGTCAGCGTCGAGTAGCGTCGATCAGCGTCTGGGAGAGGATGAGGTAGCGCCGATTTCTTGTCGGCTAGCGTCGATTAGCGTCGATTTAGCGTCGATTCGCAAGAGCCGGCAAGATGGTATGGGAGGCTCCCACGAGTTGCCACCGAAGGGGATCAGGGGCCTTTCCAAAGTAATTGCAGTGTTCAATTCTCAGGACTGTTGGTAAGGGACCCGAGGAAAGTCCACCAGGGGGCCCTCCAAGAGCAGTTGCAGTGCTCAGTGTTCAGGACTGCTGGCCAGGGGCCCGAGGGTGAAGGCCACGGAACGCCTGCGGCAGGCTGGCCGACGGAGATGTGGCCGCGGAGGCGCCCGCGTTGCTTGGATTCCCCTAGACTGCTGCCCGCCTGCACGGGTTGAAGAGGATTCTCAGGGGTTCTTTTGATGTGTCCCCCCTCTCCTCCCCTTCTTCCTCCCCCTGTCTCCTCCTCCCCCCTCCCTCGCCCCTCCTGTTGTTGCTGTAGCGTTGCACAGATTGTCGCTTGTTGGTGGATAGAAGATTGCCCATGCGGCGTTTGGCCTATACTGCACGAGATTATTTGTCTGCCCTCCAGGGGACCGCTCCGGCACTGGAGCTGGCATGCAGACCGCCTTGTCTTGCCTTGGTGTTAGCTGGTTAGAAGGAGACGGAGTAGAAGCTGCGATGCGAATAGAAGGAACATGCGAGCAGGGCTCGGTCAGGGGAGGAGCGTGGCCGCAGCACGCATGGCCCGTACACCCCCAGCAGTCCGGCTGGTCGTCCTCAGTTCAGCTGGCACCCCCGCAGCAGCCCGGCTGGTCGTCCTCGGATTGGCCCGCGCCTGGGCAGCACACTTGGCCATTTTCGGACGGCCAGTCGCTTCCCGAGAAGTACGGCTGGTCGTTCTCGGATAAGCGAGCTGAAGGATGCAGGGGACCGGAGGCGGGGATTTATCCATAACCACCGCCTGGTGGATCGATCTTCGGGAAACTCGGCAGGCAGCGGACAAGGACATGTAGGTCCCCTGGGGCCCCATACTATACATATCTATCGCCCCCTGGGCTCCCAGGACATCGTTTCTCTAGGCGGTGGATATGGATAAATCCCCGCCTTGCAGGGGAGGGTGCTCCAGGCCTTCCAGATGGTGCTCTAACAGACGGGATCGCAGGATCGCGTCGCATAGGCGCCGCATCGGCGAAGCGATGCGATCTGGGGCCTACGCTTCGCCATCCCGCCGTCGCCGATGCGTCGACGATGCGGCGCGATCCGTCGACCCCATCTGCTCCTGGGCCCCATGTGGAGGCCTCCGTATGCAGAGGGAAGGGTATTGATGCCACGGGCAAGCTATTCAGCCCAGGGTCATACGATGGCACAGATGGAAAGTGACCGCCAGTTTGGAACAAGGGGGGAGGAAGAAGTGGACGGAGTAAGCAAAAGGTGCCTTGAGTGCCGGGCTTTGGACTATGCGATTATCAAGCCGTCTCCACGAATCAGTCCAGACATCCCGCGTTCCATATTTTTCAATGCGTGGACCTTTGGAGGTTTGGGCAACTTCCCCAGGTTTGTTTTTTCGTATCAAGCAAGTTTTTTGGGTGACGGTTCCGGGACCTGTTGAGGGCCCCTGGAAGCATACAATTGCCCCAAATTGGCCGTTCCAATTTGTTCGGAGGTTCGGATCTTTGGTTGCGCGCGTTGCTTGTTTGCGAAACGTCCAGAGCGGTTGGAGGGCCAAGTCTATTTGCTTCTAGGAGGCCAATCTCGGGGACTTTTGCGAAATACCGTTCTAACTTCCTAGCTACAAGCGTCTGTAGACACACTGGGTGTCATATTGCGTGTAGAATCTCGACTTGCACACGTATAAAGACAACGCGGCAATTGCGTTCGATACGGAAAAAGGCTGGAGAAGGGGCGAAACCGTCTACAGTATGCTCATGTTCTCGAGCAGGTCCGACATGGTACTCCAACTCTTATCCGCAACTGCGGGGGTCTTGGTCTGTTCCTTCAGCGGGAGCAGGGGTTGGCGGTGGAGGACGCTGCTCGGCTGCGAGCAAGGGGGGGAGGTGAGAAGTATAAGGCCTTCTCAGAAGTATAAGTCCCCCGGCCCTCTGAGAAGTCTTCTGAGTCTCCCCCGAAGGCAGGAGCAAATTCTCAGAAGGCGCGAGGGCTCATGAGAAGTCCCGCCGCCTGCTGAGAAGGCCTTCCCCTTCTCACTTCCCCCCCCTCGCTCGCCGCCGAGCTGCGCGTCCGCAGCACGGCGCGCGGTACCCTCTGCCTTATGGCGCGTGCGGCCGGCTCTTCGCTCCGCTGGTTACGAGCATCCGCGGGCCCAGCGCTGCGACTGAACGGGGGACAGGTTTCGAGGAAGATCGGGCATCGTCAAAGGGGTGCCAAAGGAGGCCGATGAGGGGGAGGAGGAAGAAGGAACACATAGATACGATGAGGAACAGGGGAGATGAAGAGACTGAGGAGGACGAGGAGGGTGCAGAAGTAGGGTGGAGGAGGAGCAGGACGAGGTGGATAAGGATGAGGGGGGTGTAGGGGAATGAGGATAAGGAAGAGGAGGAGGGGGAGAAGCGACGAGCTTCCAAGAGGATCGGGCAGCGACAAAAAGGCTCACAACTAGTGTCACGAGTGGGGCATCAGTAATATTGGGGTCACCACTTAGCGAAACGTATGAATGTAGGAGTGAGTCATTCTCCTTCAGATGGACCTTGACGTGGTGCAAAGCAGTGAACCCGTGGTCCCCGCGGCGACGACGCATGGGGGACGCGTCTGGGCCCAGTGGCCGGCAGCCAAGACAGACACGCACAGACGGCGTCAAGCCCGCCCTTGCCCTCTCCGGTTGATGGGCACCACCCTGCACGTTTGATGTGGGTTGTTGTGAAGACCCCCCGCGCCATCAATTCAATATTGACGGGCTGCGCCGCGATGTGTCGATGTGCCGACTGACCGAAATCCTGTGCCCCGCTGGCGATGCCTTTAACTTTGAATCGGGTGAAGGGGGGCGCGTTGAAGTTCGCGCTGGCACCCCGGTCGCAGAACATTAACCATTAAAAACACTATGGGCGTGTCCAGTTCCTCCTGAGGATCGGGGTTTCAGCACCGAAGCTCGAGGAGGGGTTTGGACGTTTGGAGTCGTTTTCGGCGCTCTGGAGTATTCTGTGGGGGTGTCACTACCTGAAGGAATGGCGCTTCCTCGAAGACATGGCGACCCCACACAGTGGTGACCTCCCCTGGCACTGCCTGGGCAGAACCATCTGCACGAACACAGTCTTTCGGATGTTCAGGCGGATTTCCTGGATCGGCGCTGGACGCCCTTAACGGCGCCCATCCCTGGCGCCTTCTTGCGAGCTAGGGAGGAGGTCCAGCGCCGATCCTAAAAGTCCGCGTGGACGTCCGACAGTTGATGTTGATGCAGATGGCTTGCAGATCCTGCTCGTGTGAATGCAGATGTATATGTCCAGCTGGGGTCTCCGCGCGTGAGCGGGCCGACAGCTGCCTCGTTCGTTGACACATGTCGCGGCCTCGTTGCCGACGTGTCTCCCCAGCTCGGGCAAAAAGCCTCCTCGTTCCTCATCACTCCTCCTCTTCCTCCTCCTGCTCCTGCTCCTCCTCCGCCTCCGCGCTCTTCCTCCGACACCTCATTCCTCCTCCCTCCTCCTCGCTCCTCCGCCGCCTCCTCCTCGCCCCTCGCCCCCCTCTCTCCTCGCTTCTCGCTCGTCATTCGCTCCATACCTTCTCCTCCTCCTCTTCCTCCTCCTCCTTCTAGTCGGCGTTGGAGGCTCAGGCACTTGGAGCCCCGACTGAGGGAGGATTTTCATTGAAACTCACTCACACGAATTACGGACTTTGACAGCCACACAGGTTACTCTGTGCCGGGGCCAGGGAGGAGGAGACACACAAAAATAACAATATTTGCAGCCCTTTCGATACCGTATCTCTTTGCGACCTTTCGCACAGCGGCTGGGTCGTGAACCAGTGATGGATTTGTCTTGGGCCGCATCTTGCCAATGTTTTGAAGATTGGGGTGCGATCTGGAATAAACGACGAGCCAAAGACCAGAGAACGGCCCCGCGTCATCCTCGCGCGGATATGCCAGCTTGCCAGGATTGCGACTTGTGAACAGATGGTTGCTCAAGTCGAGGGAACGGACATCGAGGCGAATTTCAGCAAGGTGCGCGAAATGAGAAGGCATACGGCAGCGGGGGAGTTTGTAGAGTTTGCTCGGCTCCCGCCTCCCTCTGCGTCCTGTGGGGGCCAGGGGGAAGAGCTGCGAGGGAGTTTGCACAGCAGCCTCGGCTCCCCTTTCAGCACCTGTGCCCACACGGACCCAGGTGCAGCCCGTCTCAGCGACTTGCGGATCTTCCAGATTGGAAACGCTCTCACCGGAGATCGACGCCAGTTTCGCCAATAGAATCCGGTTGGCCCCGCTTCGCATTCGTTTGTTCGCCGCCGAGCAAAACTGGAGGCAAGGCTGGACAACCGCGGCCACCTGCTCCCGCTGAAAGGGGGTCGCTGCACTCGAGTCGTTTCGGGATGCGTCGAACCGAAGTACTGCATCGCCAATAGCGCAGAGAGAGCCTCGTGGCCGCGGCACAGACGAAAGCAAGCGACACAGAGGGAGGATGGAGGCCCCGAGGTTCGGAGGTCATTGGCTTCTGCCGATGATGGACTTCGAGAACCCATGGACCCCCGCGGTGAGACGGACGAGAAAGAGCCCTGGAAAGATGGAGGCCAACCCAAGCGTCTGGAAATGTTGCCCCGGGAGATCGACTCGATTATTCGCAGGAGAGCGAGGGAGGTCTGGGAAGATGGAGGCCCCGAGGTTCAGAGGCCACCTGCGGGTGCCGAGGACGAACTTCGAAATCGCACGCTCCTTAATGATGACCCACAGATTCGAACGCTTCTGGGAATCTTCAGTTCTACAGCGACCCACGAAGGAATGAGTAAGAGCGCGTTGCAAACACTGTGCGCGGAAAGGGGGGATGCCCATTGGAGATTGCGTTGAAGTGCTAGAATTTGTTCTTCGCACAGGGGCTGTGCGTCTGCGGAGGGGGTGGAGAAGGATTCGGGAATTGAGGCGAAGGGAACGGCAAACTTTCCCAATGGGGGCTCCCTCTGATCTCTGAGTGATTCAAGCCACAGTTGTTGAAAGGGTTTGACATCGGAGAGTGCACACGGAAAGCGCAACGGGCGAGCTTTGGACGACATCTATGACATCATGTGGAAGAGCATTGGCCATGATTGTTCTGCAGATGAGGTGCTGTCCGAAGTGGCTTCCTGCGGCACAGTTCGCACTTTGCCATCTGTGGAATTTGCTCTTTCGGAATGAGAAAACATTGGGTTTGTTGCCAGCATGGCAGACAAGTGCACAACTGGTGGCCTTTGAAAGTTCCGCTCTTTCAGAATGGGAAAGCACAGGAATTCAACTGACCGCGTTTGGCGCGGAGGAGAATATGGAATTAACCTCGAAGGGAGAGCCGGACGCACTAGCGAGGGCATCTCGGGGTGCATGCCTTCTGGCCCAGTGTTCCCCCTTCTCGTGTCTTCTCGGCAACGCGGTGCCAGCGGCGCCGCACCCCTTGGTTTTATCGGAGAGCTACTGACTGGTAACACAGGGCCCCCCTGCGAACGGACCGCACGCTAGCCTGTGGAGGGCGTGGGGGGGGAGGGGCCTTCTCCTCCTCGTGGCCCCTGGCAGAATCGAAAGTGGTCTGGGGCCGTGGCCGAAGGGAACTGACGCTGCGGCAAAGCAAAAAAACGGCGGCGAACGAGGGGGGGCAAGTGAGAAGGAGAAGGCCTTCTCTTTCAGGAAAAAAGCCGTGCACATAACAACTGTTGGTGCTCCGCGCTGGTTTCTTCGCGCTGGGCCCCCCCAGCGGCGCTTTCGTCGCCGCCCCTGGCGCGCTCCGCGCGCCAGGGGGAGGGGTCCAGCCCTGCACCAAGAAATTCACGCGGAACGCCAAAAGTTTACATGGATGCCGAAGTCTCTAGGCATGGTGAGAAGTTTCCTGGGCCTTCCCCGAAATTCCACTTCTCAGAAAACGCGAGGAGCAGACGTTGCTGAACAGTGGGGAACCGACCCGAGCCCCCACAACAATGGATATGACATGTCACCGTGTTGCAAGTGTGGCGACTGTGCGTACGTGTTGGCGCCCAGTAGGCGAGGCCAGTGCCAGCTGCCGCAGGGGGGGGCCCGCGTGCGCAACTCAACCAGGTCTAAACATTCCTCACGCGACAGAAAAATGCGGACGAAGAGGAGGAGGAGGAGGTTCAGGAGGAAAAGGGGGGGCGTTTTTCATGCGTTCAGTTGCGGCAAAAAAAGGAGCTCGCGGAGAGGCTGGCATGGGGCTGCGCATAGATCAATGCTTCCGCTTTCAGATCCAGGCGATGCTGTTTCGTCACGCTGGGCGATGGCGCCCGCACTCGCGCCTGGGGACCGCAGATCGGTCCGTGTCGAAACATGCCGCAAACAAATTATGACCAGGGCTCTGGTCGTGAAATTCGCGGTGCCGCATTTTGCTGCAACGTCGGATCTCAGGGCATGTCCCTTTTTGTGCACCGTTCATGTGGCTTCGTCGGGGCAGACCACCACGTTTCTTTCAATACACCCCGCTGGAAACGTGATGCAAAGTATGCAGGTCGTGTCGAAGAATCGTCCAGGTGACTTCTCTGGGGGCGTTTTTCATCCTGGGTCCGTTTCTAACGGCCCCTGGGACCGGGAACGGCCCCTGGAGGCCGACAGCGACAACGTTGCGCGCGGCGGTGCAAAGCCGTGCAGATGATGGGCACGAGCTAAATTGGTACAGACATATTGGTGACGAAGAAGATTGATACCAATTCCTGCCCGTTTCGAACCCTAGAGATTCGCGGTTCCAAAACGATTTGAGCTGCCAGTATTGGGCCATCTTCGACAACCTGGGGCCTTCAACAGGGCGCGGGACCGTCAAACACAACTCAGGATCTGAAGCTTCCCTTGAGAAGTTATACAGACCTCCGGTGTACACGCACTGAAAAAAGGAGCGCCAGATTTCCGGGTTTAAATTCAAAGGTCGCCTGCCCAAAAGCAGCCGCTGTTGGTTTTGGACAACGTGTGTCATTTGGACATTCTACGCATTGCCATTTATGTCGTACCCATTCTCAGGCCGGTCAAGAGCTGTTGTTGTCCATCCCCTCGCGATAACGAGCGTGATTTGGCGCCGTCTTGGAATGTTCAGGAGAGGCTCATTCCCAGACGGCGCCAGCGCGAATCGTCACGTGACCAGGGGGGGTGCAAGGGAGTGGCGGCGGGGCCGTTCACGAGCGTTGTTTTGGCATCGTTCGGACGTGTGTGTTTTTTGTTCTGCGAGGACAGTCGGAGAGCCTTTCAGGTCATCTTTCGAAGAAATACGCGCGCGCGAAACCGAAACACGCACGGGGAATGGACGTCCGAGCGATGGCGATTTCTCACGAATAGGAAAAAGGCTCCAAGAAGTCAAGGTAGACACGAGTCACGAGTCGCGCATCGGCGCGGCGCGGCGCGCGCAGTTGGTGACTCCGCGTCTCCTCTTGGGCGGGGCAGGACCCGGCGCCAGGAGGCGCCGCAGCGGGTGGGACTGCGGCGCGCCGCAGACCTGGACAGGCCCGGCCCGCTCCGCCCTCTTCGTCTCTCTTGCTCTAGGACTCCCAGATGGGATCGGAGCTGGGAAGATCGCGCCGCATCGTCGGTGCATCAGTGATGCGGATCGATGCGGAGCCCGATTTCCTTCACGCCGACGTTGCCGATGAATCACGGCGACGATGCATCGCCGGTGCATCGTCGACGCATCGGTGATGTATCGCCGATGTATCGCCGATGTATCGCCGATGCGGTGTGTCGGCGAGTCAGCGCGATCCTCCGACCCCATCTATTCCGACCCTATCTAGGAGGCCTCTACTTGCCTTCTTTCAGATGCTACTCCTGGGAAGAATTTGGACTTGGCCCTGGTCCGAAACCCGTTGATTTGGTCCAATCCCCACTACTCCAGCTTAATCCCACTACGTTTCGCTTCATCCGATTTAATCCCGCTTCATTCACGGCCGAATCTCGCAGCGCAACCCCCCCCATGAAGCTCAATCTTTTTTTTAGTCGTTCCAGCGAAAACCTCCCAGCAGTTGCCTCCTAACTTTCTGGATGGGGGAGCACTGGCAAATTCGCTACTCGCAGATGGGGTAGGGAAGGTGGAAGGCTTCTCAGAAGGAGCCTACTTCTGAGGAGACGCGGGCTTTGTCTGCAGCTGTCACGCCGGCGCCTTCTGAGAAGCAGCCTCCTTCTGAGAAGCCTTCCCCCCTCCCATACCCCCCTCCGCGCGCCACCAAGAAACGCCAGGCTGCTGTCCTGCGCGACACTTAGGCAATCCTCTCCGCGAGATGTCTGTGGCACAATGGTCGGTTTCGCGCGTGCGGCCCCGCTCGAGCATCTCAAGAGCAGGAGATCAAGGGCACGGGCGTCGTTTCCAGACGTACGAAACAAGCCTTCTTGAACTCGATCTTATTGCAGCATCCGAGATGTGCGGATGAATTCTGCAAGATCATCGATGCACCCTTTGTTGGATCGTCGTGGTAATCGTTCCGCATGCTCGTTGGTTGTGGTTGGATCTCGTACTCCTGTCGCCTTTCGGCTTCAGGGTCCCTCGCTTTCATTGGCCGCCACCGGAACATATCTCCATCGCCAGCGACGTGGCCGTGCGCACCGGTTGTCATAGGCCACCTCCCGCTGATAGTCTGCAGAACGGTGCGTCGCACGCAGAATCCAATATTGCCACGGTCCATTGTGATTGAGTCGGTGGAGGAGGAGGAGGAGGAGGAGGAGGAGGAGGAGGAGGAGGAGGAGGAGGAGGAGGAGGAGGAGGAGGAGGAGGAGGAGGAGGAGGGGGAGGAGGAGGAGGAGGAGGGGGAGGAGGAGGAGGGGGAGGGGGAGGGGGGAAGAGGAGGAGGAGGAGGAGGAGGAGGAGCCAATGCCAGCCTGAGTGCCGCAGCTGTCCGAATCGTTGGATCGGTGCGTGCACCGTCGAAGAGGCGGCGCTCTCCGTCCGCGGCGGCCTCTCCAGAGAGCGTGGCGCTCCGGTGACCCAGCAGTCCTTCGGAGCATGTGGTGTGCTCCAGGTTTCGTAGTAAAGGGAGGGGGGTCTCATTTCGGGGGGGGGTCTCTTCCAGGCTATCTTGGAGGGGCTGGGGGGGTCTGGGGACGATGTTCTGGAGGGTTCTCCCACGGGGGAGGTCTGAAATGGCTTGTCTTGGAGGGTCCAGACCCCCTCCCTTTTATTACGAAATCTGGAGTAGCGTGGACCAGACTCGCGATTCCAGCGGAATTGCCATCGTCCACGAGCCAGCACAATTTAGTCGCGTGGAAACAGCGGTGTCGCTGAGCAACCGAGGACGGTCGGTGACAAGCATGGGCAGAGCATCACCGTTCTCGGCGGAAACCACGGGGTTAGCACCACATGCGTCATTGCACGGTTGGGACCAGCTGGATTCGTCAAGTCTGCGACTGTTTTCCCGACAGCATCGCAGCCGGTTGTTTCATAGCATCGCGTCTCCGACGACCCCATTCTTGAGAGGGGAGGGGGGATGCGGGCAACCTCCATCGATGAGTTCCACGATGCCACCCCGAGCAGGATAGTAGAGGTGCCTCGAGGGGGACTGCGCAAAACAAGGAACCACTTCACCAGGAGGACTTTCCCAGGCTTTTCGCGATAGTGGTGGTGGTTCGAGCAGTGGCGAAGCGTCCTGGCTCGCCTATAGCCCTACTAAACAATGTTCTAAGAACCCTTTTTGTTGTAGCTTCCACGAAATGCTCTTAGAACATTTCTGGCGGAGTCTGTCTTCATCGGGCTTATGTTCTAAGGACCGTGTTTTCTTATTAGAACGCTTCTGTGTTCTAAGAACATTTCGTGGTAGGACTATAGGAATGCCGGGACGGTCGGTCCTTGCTCAAGTGGTGGTGGTGTCGGCCTTCTTCTCTTTGTTCCTGCCCTCCTCCTCCTCTTCCCCGCCGCCACGCGGCTTGCCGTGCTCTCGCCCTGACCACCGTGCCTGGTTGCCGCTTCCAGTCACTTTTTTTCGGCCCGGAGGAGGAGGATGAAGCCAGAGGAGGAGGAAGAGGAGGAGGAGGAGGAAGCTAGAGGAGGAGACGGAGGAGGAAGCTAGAGGAGGAGGAGGAGGAGGAGGAGGAGGCCGTTCGCATGCGTGGCCTCGCCATCTGCAGCGCAGCCGAACGTGTGCGGTCTCTCCGGAAACGGTGTGGAGTCATTGCCCGAGGGTTGTGGGTGCCCCTGGGACAGCTTGGGGGGTCTGGTCGAAGGAACAAAGAAAGTGACACCACCACTAAATATATATATATATATAGAGATAGATAGATAGATAGATAGATAGATAGATAGATAGATAGATAGATAGATAGATATATGCAAGGCTGCATTGGCGCTGCGCGCCATGCACCTTGGTCTTCTGAGTTTCGCACGCAAGCGGGGTGCGTGCGTGCGTGCATGCGCGCATGCTTGCATATACGCGCACGCGCATGCACGCTCTGCACATATATCTACGTGTATACCACACATGTATACTATTTTATATATGTGTACACATATTACATATAAACATGTGCATGCATATGTATATTTCAATCGCAGGTGTTTGTTTGTGCACGCACCTATATGTAATTATGGGTGCGCATACACATGCGTATCTCAGGCGGTAATGGCCTGACCGCCTGCTCAGGGCATCTCGCAACTCAGAGGTGCGAGGGTCTCAGGCGAAAGTAGCCAGACTACTACGGGGCAATGTGTCTCCGAGGTCAGCGTTGCGAGGATGTTTCAAGCGAAAATAAATTGACCACCTCAGCTGAGGACATACCCGAACCCGGAATTGCGAGGATTTCTCAAACGAAAATGGCTTGAACACCTCAGCTCAGGGCATCCCTGAATCCAAAGTTGCGAGGATGTTTCAGGTGAAAGTGGCGGACTACTCTGCGGCAGGGCATCTCGGAATCCAGAGTTGCGAGGATGTTTCTAGCGAAAGTGGCCGGAACACCTCAGCTCAGGGAACCTCAGGGAGCCAGAGACGGGGTAACAGCAGACGGGGTAACAGGAAACGACCGGTTCGAGGCATCAAATGGCCTTTTTGTTGCTGTGCAGTTTTCTTAGGCTTTCGCGTTCGATGCAGCACCTTCCACATGCTGGCTGCGTTGCACATTTTCGGTTGCTGCACTGACATTTTTTGTTTTGGGCCCTCTGTTACCCGGTCTGTGGGGCTTGTTTGCAGTTTTTCCGCAACTAGATGCCAACAGATTGCAGTGCAGTTTTTTTTTGCGTTGCACACAAATGCAGTGCGTTTGTTTGTTCTGGTCGTTGCAGTTTTTCCACCTGGATCCCATGGTGGGTCTGTTACCCCGTTCAGGCGTTACCCGGTTTAGTGCTCCCTGAGAATCTTGGAACCCAGAGTTGCGAGAAGGTCTCAAGCGGAAGTGGTCGGACAACCTTGGGGCAAGGCTTCTCTGTGGTCAGAGTTGCGAGGATGTCTCAGCCGACAGTGGGAAGGAGCAAGGCGAAGGGAAAGAGTAATGGGAGGAGTCCCGCGGACCCGAGGACAGGCAGGCACGAACGCTCAGGATCGGAAGTCATGGCATGGAGCCTGGAACTGACGCGGATGCAAGACGCTGGGAGCTGGCCTCGGAGAGCGTTGAAAGACGGGAGAACCTGAGAGGGACTCATCGACGGGCGCCGCCGGAATCTTTGGGGAAGATTTGGAGGCCTTGTGAACGTGTCGGAGTGCTACGTGTCTGATTGCTACGTGGCAAGGCGTATCCGAGGTTGACGTTGCGAGGATGTCTCAGGCGAAACTGGCCCGAGCACTATGGGGCAGGGCATCTCCGAAGTCAGCTGTGCGAGGGAGTCTCAAGCGAAGAGAAGTCTGAACATCTCAGGCCAGAAGGTCGAATATCCACCTTGCAAGAGCGTCCGAGCAGCCCCCGGGGAGCTTCCCAGCAGGTCGAGCAGCCCGGGAAGGCACTTCCCAGCAGCCCTGGGAGTCCGAAATGCGTTCGGGGGGATGTGTGTGCACATGTGAAATGATTGTGCATATGTATGCATGTGCATGTGTTTGTATGTATGTACGTATGGATATCAAATGACAGCGCCTTCCAACGTCTGAACGTCCTAAGAGCGTTTGACGCTCGTTTCATACGGTAATGTATTGTTAAACGATGTCTACATCCGTACAATAATTGCTTTACGGGGACATTTCATGTAAAACGCTCTTGGGCCGTCTTGGGCTGTTCGTGGCCCGAAACAGCGAATTCTTGGGGGCCTTCGGCCGTCTTCGGGCTGTCTTGGGGGCCTCTTGGGGCCCTCTTGGCAGCCTCTTGGGGTGCTCCTGAGGCTCTCTTGGGGCCGTCTTGGGGCTCCCTTGGTAGTTTTCGGGCCCTCTTGGGCCGTTTGGGGGCCCCCTTGGGCCGTTTTTGAGCCCTGGGGCCGTGTTGCGACGATCTTTGGAGCCTCTTGGGCCGTCTTGGGCCGTTCTTGTCCCGGCAAAGCGAAAACCGAAACAGCTTTCAATAACCATTGAACAATCAATGAATTTTGCCTCTTCGGGCCCTCTTGGGATGCCTCGTGGAGGCCTCTTGGGGCGTTTGGAAGCCATGTTGAAGGTTTGGGGGTGCTTTGGAACTGTCGACGAGCTGTCTTGGACAATATTGGAGGCCTCCTTGGACCTTCCGGGAAGGCTGGAAGGCCGAAGGAACCCTTTGCAAGGGCGTCCGAGCAGCCTGGGGGGGGCCTTCAAGCAGCCCGGGGAGTCCGAAATTCGTTAGGTGTGTGGGGGGCGGCGCTCTTTCCGGGGTCCCAGGCCCTATACAAATATATAAGTAGGAATCTGTTAAAAAGCGGCACCACCACTACCAGGGGTGCCACCTCCAGTGAGGAGGCTCTCGATGCCTCCCCGAGCTGGGGATCTGGAACGAATCCGGCGAGCAGGTTCCTGTCCTTGGGCCGTTGTGGGTGATCCGATTTAGTCAGCAGTGCATGCTATACGGCAGGTTCGCGCCGCGTTGACGCGACGGCGACCCCGCCGCGGGCGTTCAAGCTTGAACGCCGTGCTTCGAGTCTAATCTCTGCAGGCATGTGCACCCGCTGGTATCGGGGAGAATTGCATCGCCCTGTCGTCATCGAGCAAGGGCGCCCTCGATGGCGCGAAGTTATTCGCGCTTCGCGGTTTTCCGCGCGAAGCGCAAAAGTATTCGCGCTTCGCGCAGCACGAAGCGCGAAGGTAGGCGCCCTTGGTTGGGAGGAGGAGGAACCAGTCAAGGGAAGGAAAGTCCACCCAGACTCCGACAATTGTCGTTCACGAAACGGCCCTGGGCGTTTACTAAACAGCCCTGCCGAATTCGATTCCTGTATGGGTGTGTTTACTAAACGGCTTTGCTTGACGGGGTGTTCTTATGGAGTGGATTCGTTACCCTCTTAGCCAGGGGGCGGGGGCGAGCCCGTCAGGCGGCGGTGGCGAGTCTGCTGGCAACGACTGGGGGTGCAAGAAGCCAGCCGACTGGATATGCCCCAATTGTAGCGACCTCCAGTACGGCAAGAACGAGGCTGCGCGAGTCAGATTGCAGTCAGATTTCATGTTCCTCTCGCTTGTGAGCTGCACGACGCGATGTCTATGTCAAGGCTTGCTGTCGTGCGCTTGATGGACTGTGATCTGGTGTGCTGTTGCCTGGATGTTGTTCGGTGGGAGTTCGTCGTCCTGGTGTATTTGCACACGCCCCTTTCATGATCACAGCTGGGCCAGCATGGACCAGCGTGAACTTGGATTCGTTTGTCGCCAGCTTGACGCAAGATCGCCCGATGGCGTGATTGCCGCCTCCTCCTCCTCCTCCTCCTCCTCCTCCTCCTCCTCCTCCTCTCCTCCTCCTCCTCCTCCTCCTCCTCCTCCTCCTCCTCCTCCTCCTCCTCCTCCTCCTCCTCCTCCTCCTCCTCCTCCTCCTCCTCCTCCTCCTCCCTCCTCCTCCTCCTCCTCCTCCCCCCCCCTCCTCCTCCTTCTCCTCCTCCTCCACCTCCTCCTCTTCTCCTTCCCCCCCCCTCCCTCCTCCTCCTCCTCCTCCTCCTCCTCCTCCTCCTCCTCCTCCTCCTCCTCCGCCTCCTCCGCCTCCAGGCGTTAGGTAATGGGCTCTGTAAACTTGTCGGCAGTGTTGTGTCGATCGGGGATCCGTGAAGGAAAGGTTGATGGTTTGCTGGCGATGGCCGGACTCCTCGTGGAGCCCCATGCTGTCCAGAACAGATTCCCAAAGCGAGTGGACGCGAGAATGGGAAGTGATGGAGCACTGGTGAAACAAAGAGGGAGACATCAATTATACCAATGGAGCCATCGGCCCAAGCGACCCCCCAAAACAAATTATCCAGGCCCCCTCCCCCTCCTCCTCCTTCTCCCTCTCCTCCTCCCCCACCTCCCCCACCGCCTCCTCCTCCTCCTCCTCCTCCTCCTCCTCCTCCTCCTCCTCCTCCTTCCTCCTCCTCGTCTTCCTCCTCATCCCCAGACATCTCCCAGGTGTGCCCAAGAGGCCTCCAGAGGCCTGTGCAGGCCTCGGCCTCCAGTGGCCCGGCTGTGCGTGTGCTCGTCGGTGCCTCTCGGTCCGAACGCGGTGGGCCGCCAAGACGCTCGTGATGCAGGAGGAGGAGGAGGAGGAGGAGGAGGGGGATGATGGTGATGATGATGATGATGATGAGGAGGAGGAGGAGGAGGAGGAGGAGGGGGAGGAAGAGGAGGAGGAGGACAGGCTGTGGGCGACTGAGAGCAGTTCGGGCTGTTGGCGATTCTGAAAAGTATCCCGGGATTCCTGCATGCCAGAGGCCATCTTGGTTCAGCTAGAGCTATCTTGTCCCAGCTACAGTCGGACCGAGGTAGAGGTATACGATCGAGATCGGTTCGGGGAGGGTGCCGTAGTGTTCTTGGTGTTTGTTGGGTGTTCTGGTGCATCCTGGAGAGGGTACCCTTGGCTGTTCTGGTTGCTTTGGCCGACGGAGGGTCTCGTGTTCTTGAGGGAAGTTATTCTGGCCTGGATCCGACTGTAAGGGGAAAGCAGGGCGTGTCTCCTGGGGGGCTCAAGCATATGCACCACCACCACCACCACCACCACCACCACCACCACCACCACCACCACCACCACCACCACCAGCACCACCACCACCGCCTCCCTCACCCCCTCCCTCTCCCAGAAACGAGGAAAATGAAATAGGAGAGTAGAGGGGAGAGGAGGAATCGACGCGGCGCTGCAGATTTATGGAAACAAAACAATTACGTAAACATACAACTCGGAGGTCCACGCGGATTGCTCGGATCGGCGTTGGGCCCCCTCCCTGGCGCGCGGAGCGCGCCCTGGGGGCCCCGGCGCCGATCCGAGAAATCAGCGCGGACATCCGAGTGCTCGTTCCCCTAATACAGTGGAGGCCCATGCCAAGAAGCACCCGGCTTGCTTCCAGGGTGCCGCGGGCTTCTGGGGTTTCGAAGCTTTTGCTGTGGTGGAGAGCGTGACGTTCCCACACCAAGCATCAGTGGACGTCCTGGGGTCTCAGGGTTGGGAGTGGGAGGGGGAGGGGGAGGAGGAGGAGGAGGAGGAGGAGGAGGGAGGAGGAGGAGGAGGAGGAGGAGGAGGAGGAGGAGGAGGAGGAGGAGGAGGAGGAGGAGGAGGGGGAGGAGGGGGAGGAGGAGGAGGAGGAGGAGGAGGAGAAGGTTTCTCTTGGACTGGCCTCCACTGTAGTTTTGGGGCCCGCACCTCCGTCCACGTTTACGATGTTCCAGCCTACGTTGGCCTTGATCACCAGGAAGAGTTTCGAGCACCAGCTCAAATACCGAAACTCGAGGGTTTTCACGCGTCGGGCCAGAGGGGGGCACTCGTCCGACACTGCTTCGACACTGTTTCGACACTTTTCCGGGTGCTCGAAATGATTTACTTCCGGGATGTGGTCCTTAAGTACGAGGGGAGCAACATAAGTCCATGTCTGAGCCACGGGGGGCTGTCCTGGACGCTCCACCGCCCAGTCGCGCCCTCCCCCCCCCCCAAAGTCTCCAGAGGCCGCCGGGCGGCGCGGCGCTGCGACCCCCTCCTTTCGGCGACGTCCCAGGATCCCCCCCCCAGACCTGCCCCGGGACCGCCCAAAGTCGAGCAGGGCATATTCGGCGGCGGGCGAGGGGGGGAAATGAGAAGGAGAAGGCCTTCTCAGAAGGCGGCGGGACTTCTCAGAAGGCCTCGCGTCTTCGAGAAGTTTTCTCTGTCTTCGGGGAAGGCTCAGGAAACTTCTCAGAAGGCAGTGGAACTTCCGAGAATTCTGAGAAGACCCGCCCCTTCTCAATTCCCCCCCTCGCTCGCCGCCGGGATATGTACAGAATTGCGTGGTCGTCGGGTCTGCAAAATGTGCGTCGAGCGTTTGCAGATCTACGAACATTCGACGCATTGGTTCGTAGACCCGACGATCGAGGCAACTCTGGGGTATATCAAGTCTGTGGTCGACCCCTTACTCGCATTACGATGTTCCAACGCACCGTAGCCTTGACCACCAGAAAGAATTTCGAGCACCAAGCACGTACCGACACTGGTGTGTTTTAACGGGGAGGGCCCTGGGAGGCGATACTCGTTCGACATTGGTTCGATATTGTTTCATTGGGTGCTCGAAATTCTTTCTGGGAAGCGGTCCTTCAACATCATATTCGAAGAAGCCCCCAGGGTCCCCCCGGGAGATCCCAGAGCAGATCCCCAAAGACGTCCCAAAAGATGTCCCGAGCGGGTGATCGCGACACGTCGACGGCATGTTCTCACGCTGCCCTGTCGTGCGCTTTGAATACATTTTCTGGGGGTGGCAGCTCCCGACGGAGCGGGGATTGGGAGGGAACATGGCGGAAGAGGAGATGGAGGCAGATTTTCAGAGGGAGGAAGAAGAAGGGCAGGAGGAGGAGGAGGACGAGGAGGATAAGCAGCCAGAGGAGGAGGAGGAGGAGGAGGAGAAGGAAATCAACAGACAGGGAGGGAACGAGAAGGCACATACACAAAACGAGGATGAGTATGATAAAACACCAACAACGGGGAGGAGGAAGAGATGGGATGGGAGATGAGGACGGGGCGAAGGACAAGTCTGAGTGCAATGCGACGGACAACAATACAAGGACATGTGAGGCAGGGGACCAGAAAGAGGAGGAGGGTCAGGAGGAAGAGAAGGAGGATTAGGGGTTGAGAAGGAGGAGTCGCAGAAGGATGAGAGCCGCGACGACTTCCAAGATGAAGCGTAGGACGAGCATGAGCAGGATGACAGGGAGGGTTGTGAATATGGTGATCGCATTGAGGAGCGGAAGAGGACAAAGGCCAATCTCAGGCAATCGCGCTTGCACCGCGCGAATGCATCTGACTATAGCTCAAGACTGCGAAGCACGCGCGTGCGTGTGTCTAGTCTTTGCGAATGTCGACTCAACGTGCACACGGTATCAACAGGCGCTTGCTCTCAGGAAGGAGTGCACCCTCATTCTACATCTCCGCCTCTTGACCCAGAGGAGACATTGAGCAGCATAACATGGATGTTTGTGCTGCTGAGAGCTGTGCTAGCATGGGCAACCCGATGATGAGCATGCGTGGTCTTTAGTCTTGCGTGGACGTGCAGGCGCTAGATACATGTATAGATGCACGTACACATATATATATATGTATAGATGGTGTGGTGTGTGGTTCCGTGATGATAGTCCATGGGCGTTCCCATACTTCGCCTATGACGTATCGTTGGGAGTGCCTAGAGACTTAATTGAGTTGCGTCGTGAGTGTCGAAGATGTTTGGGTGGGCGACTGGTATTCTTCGTTTGTATTGGTTGCGTGAGTGTACCGAGTGTTCTTCCTCTGCAGGTGTGTCGGATTTGCGGGACTCTCCGACCGCCAGGGGCAGCCGAAGGACAGCCTTGCATGCACTTTTCGGTTACTGCTCGCTCGAGTGCTCTTATGGCTACTCCATGCACATGCAGTGCAGGAGTGCCTGTCATCGGTGACAGCATCGAGTTATCTCCCATCATCTGTCCATGCGAGTGTGTGTTACGCTTCTCGTACGCTGGGCCGCTCGGGTTGCTGCTGGACGCCTTGAACAACCCGTATGTGCTGTTGACGTGTTCGGCGACACGCGGACGTGCGTATACGTGTCATGTGTATGCGAACGTTCCCTGCTCTGCCTACAACTGCCGGGTCAAGGGTACCCTCGTGTCCTGTGGTTCGCGGCCCATGACCTCCACATTTCTATGGCAACGCGGCCCTCGGGAGGGTCTCGTGTCCTCTCGCATGTCCTCTCCAATCAACCTCGACTGTATCCATTATTAACCTTTGGGGGCCCTCACCAGGTTTTGGGTCTGTCAAACACCGAGCAGGAGATCGGCTACATGTTGGATGCACAATGGATGCACCCCAAGGAGAGAACGACTCAGGTTGACAAGCTGGTCCCCAAGAAGGGGTCCAGACCTCCTGGGGCCTTTCTCAGGTGATGCACTCGCCTTTTTCGGGTGATGCACTCCCGGGGGTGGAGGGGGGCTGCGCATTTTCGATGTAGATCTCGCCCTCCCTGGGCGCTCTGACAGACGTGCAGCTGTGGCCACCTCGGGGCGTCCCTCGGCGGTCGAGGGGCGTGGCGCCTTTGTGCACGCCGAGCCGGTGCCTCGACCTCCCAAGGTGCGCTTCCCAGCGCGCATCTCGGTAGCAAATCATTGGAGCTTTATGTACTGAAATAAGTCCGTCTGTAGCGTCGACTAGCGTCGACGATTAGCGTCTGGGAGTGGATCAAGTGGCGCCGATTTGGCGTCGGTTAGCCACGATTAGCGTCGATGTAGCGTCGATGCAGCGTCGATTGGCAACGACTAGCGTCGATTAGCATCGATTCGCAGGAGCCGACAAGATGGGTATGGGAGGCTCCCATGAGTTACCACCGAGCGCTTCTAAGAGTGCATTGGTCGCCGTCTTGAAGTACACCCAGGGGGTCGAGCTGAGCCACGTCTCACACAAACGGGGCTATCCATCAGAGAAGGAGGACGGGGTACCGCTCCCGCTGCCGTTGTCACGTGTTTGCTCGTTTTGGCACCCTGGGGGGCCCTCGTCGCCACGGCTGGATTCGAATTGAATTCCTGGTCATAACGCGGGTTTGTGCTGGTCTGGGTTCGTGCGTCCTTGGCACGGCACGGACGCTTGTTTGTCTAGTTTCTCTGCGTTTCTAAAGGCAGGTTCGATGATTATCAGGACGTGTGCTAGCCCAGGTGTGCGTTTACCCACTTCGGTTCTTCCGATAGCCCGCAGCCTGTGTTGGCCACGCGTTGCACCGCCTGCGTCGTGTTGAATGGCTTCGGTGGACAGCACACGCTGTCGCTAAGACACGTTCTGAGAATCATCGAGGCAGGTTCTCGCTCTGCGCCTTCGTCTGGGTGGGGCTCGTCGCATGCCCCCCCCCCCCGCGCGCGCGTGACGTTGTAGTCTGCAGACCTTCTCCGTCTCCAGCAGTCCGTCTTTTCCCCCTCCCCTCAGGGGCAGCATTAGGGGGGGCATGGGCTCAGGGGGGGGATACATCGACCCCAATCGCCCATTCACCCTGCTTCTCGCTTCGACTTTGGCTAATCCTGCGAGCCCCCCCCCCCCCCTCCGCGGAGCGAGGAGAGTGCGGCTGGGCACGCGCCGACAGGGACCAGGCGCAGGGCACCGCGCCCAAGAAGAAGGACCGGCGGGGGCAGAGATGGGCGGTTAGCCCAGGGGGGGCGTCACGTGTACTCTTGAGTCGGGCATGTCCCTCTACAGGAGGAAGATGAACAAATAAGCAGAAAATAGTATGGGGACGATTTTTCTGTTAGTTATTTCTTCATCATATTTGAACATGTTTTGGCTATCTCTTGTTTTTCTTCGATAATCCGCCTGTATGGGGACATGCCCGACCTAAACGTACTGCGGATGTAAGCCTCCAGGACCAGAGTTTCAGACCCCCCCTCCCCAGACCAGCCATGAAGTGGCGGCCTCTTGCCCAGACCCCACCGGGACCCTCCAAGTCGGCTCAAATCAGACCCCCCCAAGAAAGAGGCCCCCCCCTCTTTTATCAGGAAATCGGGAGTACCCAGGTCTCCGATGGCCCACGCATTCCCTGGCGCCGCCGCTGGCGGCGCTGTCCCTGGGGCGATCTGCGCCCCAGGGTCTGGGTGTCGAGGCCGCCCCAGACTGCTTCCTCGTGGGGGCCTGTAGAGGCCAGCAAGGACTACGGGGGAGCGCTGTCTGTGGGCACCACGAAGCTTTCACCACCGTGGCATCTGGACCCCTTCCCGGGGACCGGCTTTCGTCCCGAGTCGTTCTTTCCGGACGGCTCCGGGGCCCAGCGAGAGCCCCTAGCGGCGCAAGGCGGCCAACAGCCTCCCGCCGTGATTGCTCTCACGACGCTTGCATGTTTTGGTCCCCTCCTCTTGCCTCCTGCGGGCAATACTTTTGTCCACATCCACTGCAGCTTGGAGTTTCGGGCTCCCTTCCCCAGCAACCTTAGGCGCACTGGATATGGATAGGTCTCTGCCCCCTAGAGGCTCGACTTTTATCCATATCCAGTGCGCCTCGGCCTTGCGGTCCCCACTCCAAGAAAGTCCAAGACGCACTGGGTATGGATATAAGTATTGCCCGCACCTCTGTCCGCATCGTTCAACCCATCCCCATGACCAGTAGACCATGGCATCTCAGCCCCACCCGCCCACCCTCCCAGGTGGGGATGGGCCCTGCGAAGCCCAACGGGAGCAGCACAATCCCGTCAAGGCGGTCAAGAGGAGGAGGAGGGGGAGGTCAGCCCAGACCCCCCGACGTCGCGATTTTTTCACGACGTGGACTTCAGCGGTCTCGACCCATTTCCAGGATCGGCTTTTCATCCAGACTCGTCTTGTTGACGGTCCTGGTGGCCCAGCCAAGGCCCCTCGAACGTCCACAGCACTGACAAACCTGTCATGATTTTCTCGTGACTCCTCCTCGTCCTCTTTTTCTTCCATTCCTTTTCCTAATAAATAACGTCTCCCTGTCGTACCTCGAGGCCAGTTTGAGGCAGTCTGGGCGTTTCGCCTGAGACTTCCTCACCATTTATGACCCTGAAGCTGGAACACTGAACAGTTTCGCAGATGGAGGCCGGGTCGTTTTCAAAATGTGGTTCTCGCCTTAGCGCCGCGCACATTTAAAACAAACGCAAGAGCTTCACGGATTGAGAGCGGTTCCTTTTCGAAATGTGGTTCTCGTTGTAGCGCTGAGTACATTCGTCGTTCTAAAGTGCAACAGAAGTTTCACCGATTCCCATGGTCAGCGTATATACCAGACATGGCGTTTTGGAAGGATTCAGGATTATGAGGGCGCAACAGTTACCTGAATCCGCGGAGTTGGAATCCCAAGAATGGGGTTCTGGCGCAATTCTGGATCGTCAAGACACAACATTCAGGTTGATCCGTGGCGTTGGAATCCGGATAACAATATTTTGGCATGCGTCTGGGTCTTCAAACGGTTGTCGTCCACCGAGGCAGTTCCCTCAGTGGACATTAACCCTTGAAGGGGCCTATGAAGAGGGAGCTTGGAGGGAGGGTTTATTCCAACATCGTTGATGACTCTTGGGTTTACACCGGTCCTCCATTTCCTCCTCCTCCCCCTCCCCCTCCTCCTCCTCCTCCTCCTCCTCCTCCTCCTCCTCCTCCTCCTCCTCCTCCTCCTCCTCCTCCTCCTCCTCCTCCTCCTCCTCCTCCTCCTCCTCCTCCTCCTCCTCCTCTCCCTCCTCCAAGGCAAAGCCAGCTCGAACAGGGATCGGTGCAACGATGCCCCGCCGAGAGGAGAGGCACCTGCCCCGGGTGCGCGGCGGGCGCAAGGTGCAGGCGCAGAAGCGCCGGGAGGAGGAGGCGCGGCAGCGGGCGCAGGAGCGCGGGCTCGCGGGCGCCCCGCAGACGCCGCCGCCGCCGCGGGCGCCCGGGAGGCGGGACGCCGCGCCGCTGCGTCGGTTTGCTGGGGGCAGCACAGGGGTGTGGTGGAAAGCCGAGACGCACCACGTGTACTCTCCACACCGCCTGCCAGGCCCAACACAGACAACTTGGGCTCACATATCAAGGCAAATGCATGTGTCACGGATTCGGTGCACGAGCAGTAGCACGAGCAGTAGCATGAAGAGATGAATAGGAAAATCGAGATGAAGAGAGAGCCGGCTGGATGAAACAGCATGGAGAAGAAAAAAAAACAAAAAAAAAAAAAACAGGGGTGTGGTGGAAAGGGGTGTGGTGCCATTGTTGAACCTGGCGACGTCATCGGGCCGGGCGAAAGGGGGGGATTGGGGAAGGGGGTGTTACGAAGTCTGCTGCGTGCAGCTGGTCTCGGCCTCGCCGAGGAGCCCATTCCTCAATACATAGGCCGCCTCCGGCGCCGGGAGGCGCCGGGAAAATATGCTACGTGAGCTGATTCTCAACCCCCCCTTTGCTATCCCCCCCTTTCGCCCGCCCCGATGTTAGCTACCATCGATCACATCCCCATTTCTGCGACTGGCACGACACCCCTTTATGCCGCACCCCTGTCCGACGTCCAAATTTCGATCGGGACGATCGAAATGGGTGCGGAAAGATTGGGTACAATGCCCAATCGCAGCTCCTGTTCATTTTGGGCAGGACTCCCTGTCCGCGCCGCCGCGGACGGTGTTCTTTGAAGACAATAAGCTGCATGCCCAGCAGCGACTGCTGTCGGTTTTGGACAACATTTTTGTTCGGCATTGTACCCTTTCGTCTGTACCCATTCCGGGCGTCCAAATTCTAGGATTCCCAGTTGAGCGACGCCAAACAACGGGGTCGTGTGCGCCGACATTGGCGCATAAGTTGCCCGCGTAGGATTGCGCACAAGCGCCCTCGTCTCCACTGTGGCGTGCCGCGCTGGCGGCCCGCGTAAGCCATCGCGTAAGGTCGCTATGCCATCTCGCGTAAGATCCGTTTCTGATCGTCGCGCAGGTGGGGCCCGAGTAGATGGGGTTTGAGGATCGCGCCGCATCGCTGGTGCATCGTCGATGCGGCTCGATGCGGAGCCCGATTTCCCACACGCCAGTGCATCGCCGACGCTGCCAATGCATCGCCGATGCATCGCCGATGCATTGGCGATTCGGCGATATCTCCCGACCCCATCTACAGTCAGGATGGGCAACCTTCCCAAGGGTACGCTTGCATCCTTGCTTCCTCGGTCCATCTTTGGCCCCTTTCGTTGGCCGAGCCCCGCTCGAAAAGCTTCGAAATGGGCGTCCAAGGCCCTTGCATCCTTATCACGCATCCTTATGATACAGTCGGGTTCCAGTAGTAGGTCGGCCCTGCGAAATCAAGGGTGTCTTGTGTCCTGTGCATCGCGCGTCGTGTCCTCTGCGGCCGAAGGGCAGGGTACCCTTGCGTCCTGTGGTTTCCCGCGGGTGTCCTTGGCTTGGCCCGCGGCGGTCTGAGCGCGTCGCGCCGGCGGGAGGTCGCGCCGTACGGGCCGACTGTGCTCGGACCCCATCTGGGAGGCCTCTATGTCCTCCAGAGGGGAACGCGTCGGGTTCGAGGCCCGAGGGCTTCGGGCAGGCTTGCTGGCTCTCGGCGGTGTTTTGCAGCCTCGGGGTGCGCTCCAGCAGCTGCGCCTCGCCAAGAGCGGTTCCCGGGGGTGCCTGCATCGGCCCGAACGGCCTCCGCCTGGAGGTAGGAAAGGGGGGTGGTGCCAATGCTGAGTCTGGCGATGTCATCTATCGTAGGTAGCATCTCGATTTACACGATTGGCACCACACCCCTTTGCGCCACACCCCTTTCCTACCTCTGGACTCTGGAGGCCCGAGCGGTGACCCGAAACCCACCATGGATCTCCCGATCGCCCATCGATCGCCGACATGGGGCCTGATTGGGAATAACCAAAGGGTGATCACTGATACCGCTACTCCCCGGACCTCTCCCGCGGTGCGTCCTGACCAGAATCTCGAGGCGAATCCGACGGTGGCGACGAGAGCTTCCCGGGAGGGCTGGGACGGACAAAGCGAGGGCAGGGTAGCGGTATGAGTACCTTTTCCCCTTCGGACTGATCGCCCACCCCGCCCAGGACCGTCCGCCGGGTGTCGTTTCAGTAAGAGCCGCCACGAGGGCGAGATATTAAGCACGCTTCGCGGTTCGCCGTTTGCTCGCCTCCTCGTTAATTATCCTTCTTTTCCTCCTCCTCCTCCTCCTCCTCCTTCTCCTACTCCTTTTCATCATAATCCTCTTCCTCCTCTTCCTCCTCATCCTAATCATCATCACCATCATCATCAGCATCATCATGATCATCGTAATCATCATATTAGTTTGCAAAGGGGGAGAACTCTGGGATACACTCTTAGGGGCTATTCGGACGCAGCCCTTATCCAGGATGGAGCTCCCCCCATCGTATACCCCAGGGTTTGGCCCAGAACTTTTGGCCCATTCGACAAACCCACGAAGCCTGGGACAGTTGTCGACAGATCATTTTCAATCATCATCATCATCATCATCATCGCCAAAGTGTCCTCCTCCTGTGGCATCGCCTTAGACTCGAGGTCCTTCAGCAGCGCCATGCCGAGGCCAGGGGGAGGAGGAGAGCCCAATGCAGCACCAGCACGAAAGGCTCGACGCCGCGTTCTGTGTCTGGTCGCCTGTGCGGGCGAGGGCCGCATGCCCACAGGCGAGGCGCTACAGCGTCCAGCAGGCTCTGCAAGTGCAGGTCGATGTCCACGGCGACATTCGCGAACTGATGCAGCAGCAGTGGCCGCCTGCGAGCACGGCAGCACAGCGCGCGCAGCGGCTCTCAGCTGTGTGGCGATGGGGGGCATTCGCGTGCGAGTACCCAGCGGCGGAGCCGGCTTGTGACGAGAACGAGCGAGTTGTTGAATCTGACGATTGCCAATTTCTACAAGTCACCGGAGGTGATCGATGACGCTATGAGGCTTGGATCCGCGCAGAGCCGCAGCATCTTGGAGGCGTTCGACAGTGCCATGGAGCTCACACCAGAAGTCCCAGGTCTGGGAACAACCACGCACACCAGTATTGCACACCATGGTTTTTGGATGAGGTTGACTTATCGGCAGAGACAGCTTTGCGAGAACATAACCTTGCTCCGTTATGTATGCGTCGGGGTATTTGCTGTACTGGGATTACCATTCAAAGTTGCTGCAGGCCTTGCTCCCCCCTCTCTTTCGGCGTTGTTCCGCCCAGCTGTTGGCAATCTGGAAGAACATTTTGGCTTCGCGGCTTCGCTGCAGCTCAGCCATTTCACGACAAGGCGCTGTTTGATCATATTGAACCAGGTCACTCGTCCATTCGACGGGTCTCCATATTTGGCCTGCTACGCGTGTTGAACTGGTTGCCACACAATATCGTGGGTAGTCGTACTGTCCACTAGAATTTCCAAAGGAGGTTTTAGCACAGAGCCAAGTCCTCGGCCGGTCGGCCGGGCTGGCAGGAGATGTTCCGCGCAGGTGTGTACATATTAATTTGCTCTTTCATTTCGAACTGTTGTGGGGGCTGTCGTAGAAAAGATCGGAAGCAGCACTAGATGATGCAATGCACAAGGACGGGAACTATATTACGGCGGTTTCACGAGATCGATTACAGTCGAATTACCCAACATGTTTTTACGTTTCCTCGAAGATAACTTGTAGTTTGGCTGGTCCTTCTTGTAACATTAGGCTTACACGCGCGCAACGCGAAAATGGGAATACCGTTCCCTGACACGGCACCCTTCAACAGACAGACAACACGTTGCTTGCCTGCGTGGTTCAAAACAGTTACAGCTCGAGTGTGTGATCCGTTTATGTCGATGGGTGGTGGTACAGTCCTCCTCCTCCACCTCCTCCTCCTCCCCTTCCTCCTGCTCCTCTTCCTCCTCCTCCCCTTCCTCCTCCTCCTCATGCTCCTCCTCCTCCTCCCCCTCCCCCCACTACTCCTCTTCTCCCCCTGGGAGGGGACGATGGTGCGAGAGCGCGACGTTACTGGCGCTTTTCGCGCTCCGGGCAGCGCGAAGTGCGCACATACCTGCCCGCGTGTTTCGGGCGGGGCTAGCATAGTGATAAAGCGCACGGCACTATTCAACGCACAGACAGTTACAGCAACATTATGTTTCCCCGTGTGTCGATGGGCGATACTGAAGTCATCCTCCTCCTCGCCGTCCTCCTCCTCCCAGTGCTCCTCTTCTCCCCGGGGGGGGGGGACGGTTCGAGAGCGCGACGTTATTGGCGCTGCGTGCAGCGCGAAGCGCGAACACGGCTGCCCGTGTGTTTCGGGCGGGGGAACGCTGTTAGAGGCTTCGGGAGCGCCCTCAGAGCGCCCCATTCTGGCACAATTCTGGATCGTCAAGACGCAAAAATTCAGGTTGATCCGTGGCGTTGGAATCCCGATACCGATGTTTTGGCATGCGTCAGGGTCTCCAAACGGTTGTCGTCCACCGAGGCAGTTCCCTCAGTGAACATTTAAATTTGAAGAGGCCTCTGAAGAGGGATCTTGGAGGGAGGGTTTATTCCAACATCGTTGATGACTCTTGGGTTTACACTGGTCTTCCATCTCCTCCTCCCCCTCCTCCTCCTCCTTCTTGTCCTCGTCCTCGTCCTTGTCCTCCTCCCCCTCCCACTACTCCTCCTCTCCTTCTGGGTGGGGTCGTCGCGAGAGCGCGACGTTATTGCCGCTGCGCGCAGCGCGAAGCGCGCACACGGCTGCGCGTGTGTCTTGGACGGGGGAACGTCCCCAGAGACTTCTGGAGGGCTCCCAGAGCGCTCCCGGGCGCCCCGGAACGGCCACGGCCTGGCCACGACTGCGTCGTCCAGAGCCGCCAGATCTCGGGGGTCCCCGATCGTGTCCAGGCCCGGTATTGGCTTTGTCCCCTTGCTGGCTTTGAGCTGGCGCAGTCGCCCAGGAGAGTTTGTTTTGTTGTCAGGTCTAGTCTGGGTTAGCGAGCCTGGTTGCCTCCCTCTCCCTGGAGGGT